AGGACATCGTGGATCCCGAGATGATTCGAGGTCGAGGCCTTCATTTAGAGGTAAATACTATCGTAATAGCAATTTTGGCAATCAAAGGATGCATTCCCAACATTTGAATGTTTTGACAAAAAGTCAACCCCAATCCCAAACAGTAGATAACGTGGTAAACGAAAACAAGTTTTTTCGTACCTAAAGATTTTCTTTTTACTTGTGATCATAATTCACTTTCAATTAAATTCAACATTAGCGATGCATGTACTCTGGATTGGTTACTTGATACGGGCGCATCAATTTCAGCCATAGAACATAAACATATTCATGCACACAACATTCCTTTCCATATAGAGAAGACTGTTATTAGAGGTGTTGGCGGTACTATAGAAGCTATTGGACACGTTTGTTTAGATTTACAAGCGAAAGGCAATACATTTAGTCACAAGTTCTATGTATTCCATACCTTACCTTGTAAGGCAAGTGGTATTATTGGTAGTGACTTTTTAAATAACTACTCTGCTATATTGAATTACGAGACGAGTTCGTTATCATTATTAAACATAAATAATGAAAGAATATATCTTTCGACTTTGCGACATAATTATGATGATTGTTTATACATTCCGTCGAGATCAGAATCTATTCATTTTATCAATACTAATTTTAAAGGAGACGGTGTAGTTTATTCAAAAGAGTTGCGTGATGGAGTTTTTTTAGCGAATTCAATAGTGACGCCGCGTGATGGGAAAATCCCTGTTAAGATATTAAATAGTACGGAAAAAGACTTAACTTTAAAAGATATTGTACCGATTATACATAGCGTGGAAAATTTAAATATATGTGCGTTTGAAAAATGTGAGAGAAATTCTGAAAGAGTGAAAAGATTATTTTCCATGCTACATTTAAATCATCTGAATGACGAAGAAAGAGTGTCGATTGAAAGTCTGTGTGCAAAATTTCCTGATATATTTTACCTACCCGGGGATAAATTATCGGTAACGAATATATACGAGCAACAAATTCATTTAAAACCAAATACGGATCCTGTTTATGTTAAACCGTATAGGTTACCTTATTCTCAACAAGGGGAAGTCAAGAAACAAGTAGAAAAAATGTTAAATGAGGGAATAGTTGAGCCTGCTAGGAGTGAATGGTCAAGTCCCGTATTATTAGTCCCTAAGAAAACAGATGTTAGCGGCGAAAAAAACTGGCGTTTAGTAGTCGATTATAGAAAACTAAATAACGTAATAGAAAATGACAAGTTTCCATTGCCTAACATTAGTGAAATTATTGATTCCTTGTCTGGTTCTGTTTATTTTAGTCAGTTAGACTTGAGTTCAGCCTATTATCAAGTAGGTTTACATCCAGACAGTAGAAAACTAACCGCCTTTTGTTCGGGTCAATTTCAGATGACCAGAATGCCTATGGGACTAAAAACAAGCCCAAGTGCATTTTCCAGGATGATGAATGTAGCAATGTCAGGCCTAACTCACGAAAAATGCCTGATTTATTTAGATAATTTGGTTACTTTTGGAAAATCTATATCAGATCATAATAAAAACCTTTTAGATATATTTATCAGATTGAGAGAGTGTAATCTTAAACTTAACCCTAACAAATGTGACTTCTTGAGAAAAGAAATGTTGTATTTAGGCCACGTAGTTTCAGGAAATGGTGTCTCACCAGATCCCGAAAAAATTGAAGTATTAGTAAATTACCCAAGGCCAATAAACACAGACGATGTTAAACGTTTTGTCGCCTTCGCAAATTACTATAGAAAATTTATACAAAATTTTGCTAAAATAGTCTACCCTTTAAATAAATTATTAAGGAAAAATGTGTCTTTTAAGTGGGACGATAATTGTGAAAACTCGTTTCAGATCCTCAAAAATAGTCTTACTAAGCCTCCTGTTCTTCAGTATCCTAATTTTTCAGAAACAAATACTTTTTTGGTACAGACAGATGCATCAGGTTATGCATTAGGGGCGGTATTGTCAAATGAAAATGGACAACCGATTGCTTTTGCTAGTAGGAGTCTAAACAAGGCGGAAAAACGATATCCAACTATAGAAAAAGAACTTTTGGCCATTGTTTGGGCTGTTAAACATTTCCGACCGTATTTGTATGGACGTAGGTTTAAAATATTGACAGATCATAAACCTCTTGTTTACCTATTCAACATGAAAGATCCGTCTAGCCGACTCATGAAGTTTCGTTTAATACTAGAAGAATATGAGTACAGTGTATCGTATGTAAAAAGTGACAATAATGTCGCCGACACATTATCAAGGATAATAACATCTGAAGAGTTGAAAGAGATGAAAGAAAGAGTTTTATGTGTCATGACTAGACTTCAAAAAAGACGATTAGAAACGAATCCATCGGTGGACATGCGTATCTCTGACAATTGGCCCGATCAACCAAAAGTCGTGGAAACGTATGTCAAACCGAGAGAATCCGTTGAAATGATATTTGTAAGTAGAAATGAACTAGATAAGTTAAGAATTACGGAAAAAATAGAGAAGGAAAGTAAAATATTCTTATATATTCCTAGGAAAAAAGGAGATATTAATTAACCCAGCTTCTCAATCGCAACTGACGCCAGGCGCTTTTGTGAGAGAGCTTGGAGAGTTTTGTAAACTTTTGAATATCGAAGAAATATATTTTATGAAAAATAATAATAATGATATATTTGTAAAGAAATTGACAAATGAAATAAATAATAATAATAGGTGGTCCGGACCCCGTTTAATAATTTTAAAAAATGTCAAAAGAATTGACAATGTAGATGATAGAAAGGTAGTACTCAATGATTTCCACCTTTTGCCCACAAGTGGCCACGCGGGCATAAGGCGGATGTATAACAATATAAAAAAATATTATTACTGGTCAGGTCTTGAGAATGATATAAAAACGTTTGTAGGAAAATGTGAACAGTGTCAAAAACAAAAACACTCAATAAAAACAAAAGAACCTATGACTGTCACAACGACCGCTGGGTCAGCATTCGAAAAGATATTTTTGGACATTATAGGACCCTTAACGAGAGACGATGACAATTACGTGTATATACTAAGTTTGCAATGCGAATTGACTAAGTAGGTAGAAGTATATCCTATGATTACCAAAACTTCATCAGAAATTGCCAGAGTTTTTGTGAATAATTTCATTCTTAGGTACGGCATCCCGATGGAAATAGCGACTGACAGAGGTGCTGAGTTCACATCCGAATTGTTTAAAGAGGTTTGTCAAATTTTACGTATTAAACATCTTCAATCAACAGCGTATCACCACCAGACTATAGGTGCGTTGGAAAATACTCACAAAAACTTAGGTATGTATCTTAGAATTCAAACGGATAATCACCCAGATACATGGAGCAGATGGTTACCTTTCTGGTGTTTTTCATATAACACCTCAGTTCATTCTCAAACTCGTTTTACACCGTTTGAATTGGTTTTCGGTAAGAGATACATTTTACCTTCGAACTTAAATAATTTAACTGTAGATCCTATTTATAATTATAAACACTATCCCACAGAGTTAAAATACAGAATGCAAACTTAATATAAAGCAAAAATTTAATACAAAGCAAACAGATTAGAAAAATAAAACATGACTCTAGCATTAATCCCGTTACGTACAAACCAAACGATTTAATATTATTGAAAAATGAAACCGGCAATAAGCTTGATGCTATCTATTTAGGCCCTTATCTTGTAGTTCGTGACTTGACACCAAATGTGGAAATTATTAAAAATGGAAAATTAGATATTGTTCACAAGAACCGAACGAAACTGTTTATAAATAAATGACAATGCCAATGTATGAATTTGTGTTTACTCATAAATTGTGTAATTATAATCATTTTATACACTCTTTAATCTTATATTATTACTTTTTTTTTTTTTTTTTAATTTTTGTTATTTTAAGTTTTGTTAATTAAATTACTTTTTAGTTTTATTATATTGTTTATACAATTCATATAAAGGAACATGTATGTACTCAAGGTACACATATATTATGTTAACTTCATAAATTTATTGTAGGAAAAAAAAAAAAAAAAAAAAAATTTTTTACTTGTAGTATTTTTTTTTTTTTGCCCTCCCCCGGAGGTGTGATGTAGTAGATGTAAGATAGATATAAGAGAAACTATAAAACAATGTATTGATTCGAATTATAGTCAGTCTTGCATTCACATTCAACTGAGTATTATTTACATAGACTCCCAACGTCACAATTCACAGATCGAACGCGAGGCATTAGCCATAGTTTTTGACGTGACAACGTCTTATAATTCGATGGAGCCGGCTGCACGCACGAAAAAAGATGACTCATGCGGCGTTACCTCGCTCTGAGGCGTTCCATTTAAGGCTTGAAGTGCAAGCGAGAGCGCGGAACGAGCGACAAAGAGGCACAATCGGCCTCCGCATTCGGCAGCGTTTGACATCTGTCTCTCTCCTACTTGAGTGAGCGATGCGTCCGCGTGGACAGCTGCTATACAATAATACATTTACATGTTTTCGTAAAATGCAACGTTGTAAATGCACGTTCAACTATCGTCAGTAAACCGACTTTACAGACAACCGTTTTTTTTTGTTTAGAAAAGCTACACCAATATTTAAACGGAAGGTTTTTCACATTACGTATCGATCACAAGCCTCTGGTAACCATTTTCGGACCAAAACAAGGAATACCATCAATGGCAGCGAGTAGATTACAAAGGTGGGCTATTAAATTATCCGCTTATACTTACAACATTGAGTATGTAACATCCAAACAAAACGGGGCCGACGGCCTATCTCGTTTACCAGCGGTCCAGTCTGTCAAGCGGGATATGGTACCCGAACAGACTTATTTACATTTTGCCCATAACGCGATGCTATTAAACTATGAGGATGTCAAACGGCAAACTAGTCGTGACCCGTTATTAAGTCGAATTCTTAGTTATATACGCACTGAGTGGCCTATGGAGAACGAAATTAAAACCCTCCAGCCTTTCTTTAATCGCAAAAATGAATTATATGAAGAATTGGGCTGTGTTTTATGGGGCCACAGGGTAGTAGTACCCGAGGGATGTAGAACAAAAATTTTAGCAGAACTCCATGAGAGTCATATGGGCATAGTTAAAACAAAGTCATTCGCTAGAAGTTATGTGTGGTGGCCTGGTGTGGACGAAGCCATCGAGGCAATGTGTCGCAGCTATCGCGTATGTGCAGCGGAGAGTGAATCACCACCGCGGCACGCGCCCTGCCCGTGGCCTTGGCCAGACAAACCATGGTCCAGGGTACATGTAGATTTCTTGGGCCCCGTATCGGGAAAAATATTTTTAATCGTAGTAAACGCAAGAACAAAATGGTTAGAGGTGACTCAAGTCGCTAGTACTGCAGCTAGTCATACCATTACGTTTTTGAGTGACCTTTTTGCCCGTTTTAGTTTACCGAAACAATTAGTTTTGGATAATGGCCCGCCGTTTTGTAGCAATGATTTTTCACGATTTTTAAAATCAGTAGGGGTCGAACACTTATTTTCTGCCGTCATTTTCATTCACCATACCACCCGGCATCTAACGGCGCTGCTGAAAATGCGGTGAAAACACTTAAAAAAAATATTAAGAAAGCTATGAGAGAAAACGTACCTAGATATAACTGCATCTTTAAATACGTTCTTGCTGCATTACCGAAATACTGAACACTGTACAACGGGAGAAACACCAGCGCTGTTAATGTTTGGTCGTAGGTTGCGAACTAAACTCGATGCGTTAAGACCCGATAGGGGTACTAGGGTGGCCAAAGCTCAAAAACGACAACAGGAAGGGGGTGCTAAAGGAAACCGTACTCTTAACCCAGGAGACAAGGTCTGGCTGCGCCATTATAATGGGCAAGATAAATGGAGGTCAGGGAAAGTCACAGAAAAGATAGGAACTTCCGACTATAGGGTAATCGATGAGTTGGGTAGGCAGTCGCACAAGCATATTGATCAGCTTAAGCAACGGATACGTAGTTCACTAATCTGTCCTTCCAGTCCTCTGGAGCCGGGTACCGATACCGACGATATTGCGCGGCACCGGATATCTTTTAGTCTGAATAGAGAGACATCGCCCGCAATTAGAAACGATGAAACGGCGGACCAGACCGCTCCCTCGCTCGACCCTCCCTGTTTCGCCCCAGCCTCGTCCGGTGCGACAATGTCGAATAAATAATCCACCCCGTTACAAAGTCTAATATGTTTGCTGGCATCTATTATTTATAATTATAGTTAAATGTCGAACAAAGATTTTGTACATCTTATGTTTGTAAAATTGTATATAGATAGGGTTATTATGTAAAGTATGTATTAGTTAAATTTATTATTGTATAGATTATTTCAGGTATTCTATTTCCAATAAAAAGTGCCCGAGTAATTAAGGGTAGAGGTATGTGATGTATTATACTCGTATATATATATACTTGCGATGGGCTGCTGCTAAGCTCGATGCTAAATTAAAGACTTCGATAACTCTATCACGGTTTATTATTATAAAAAGTATAACGGTACTAAGCTATGCTAAAATGCTAATGGACGATTTTACGAGTATGCTCTGCTAATAGTTACGAATGCACCCGGTTTGCTGTCCGAATATGCACTGATGTCGCCGCACACTTAAGGCGACCGCGTTAGGTTGCTAGATCAGCAAAAGGTGTTCGATCGTAATTATTGCATCGAACAACGATGATGCAAAGGCAAACAAAGTAATGATAAATTGACAACTGGGCAGCTGTCAGTTTGATAAGAATTTTAAAATAATAATAGTATAGTTGCATTTAAATAAACAAAATATCGTATTATTAATCGACGCAACAAGTCGATCGGTATTTTATATGCTTATTGTTAATGTATAATGTATAATTATAATACAATAGATTTTTTTTAAAAATACTGAAATGTGTGTATAAATAAAGTACAAGTAAGTAAAAAACTCAATGTCAATATTTTGTTAAAATACTATTTGATTTTTTTACGAAATGCAAATGCCAGTGTATAAAGATAAAATTGTTTTAGTGTTATTTACTTTGCCGAAAATGATTCTGACTTTTATCCTGACTTGAATAGCAAGGAAAATTAAGAAAATTCGGCGTTCTGGGCCTAATATCGGCATTCCCTTTTTGTAAATTTAAATTTTTGACTCTTCCGATTCAAAGGTTGCCGACCCCTGCCCTATACCGAAAACCCAGAAGGATATTAAATCCTTCCTAGGCTTCTTATTACCGGAGGTTTATTATGGACTTCTCTAAAATCGCAAAACCCCTTACCAGTTTACTGAAAAAATTCAGCATTCGATAACTTAAAACATAAATTGACTACTGCTCCACTCTTAATCTACCTAGATTTTTTCCAACGTTTTGTAGTTACTGTCGATGCATCTAATCATGCTGTAGGAGCTGTACTCTCACAAGGTCACATAGAAAAAGACAAACCCTTGACCTATGCATCAAAAACACTTATTAAAAGCAAAGTAAATTACAGCACGACTGAAAAAGAAAAACTGGCCGTCCTGATTGGCTTTAAGACCTTCAGGCCATACTTATGTGGCCATAAACTCCAGATAGTTTCGGATCATTGGCCACTCAAATCGCTTTTTAACCATAAAGACCTAGTAGCAAGCTCCAACGATGGCGGCTTAAGCTGGAAGACTATGAATATAAAATCATTTATCGTAAGGGTAAACTAAATTCCGTCACTGACGCCCTTTCTCGATATACAGTTAACCCCATAATTGCAGGTTATTTGATTAATCTCATTGCCCCCGACCCACAGATAACTAATCCGAATAGTGAACTAATAGACCCTGGGCCATTAGACTTCAGCCCTCATTCCAGTGAATTGAACTTAAACTTTGAAGATCTTGCAATACCCTCCGTAGAGGTTGAAGAAATCCCTAACCAAGCTACAGGAACTGAAACACAAACACCAAATATTCCTTCCACGATTAGTCCTGACAATAACCTCATGGAACCTAGAGAAAATTCTGATACTCTGATACTCCTCTAAAACCCCTGATATTCAAACTGAAGAACCCATGCCGTCCACTAGTGCATATCGACCTGAAACGTTGAACCTACCTAATGATTCTACCCTCAGCTATTAACTCAGAATAAAAACAGAACAGTTAATACTAATCTTAAAGAATACAACGAAGACTTGATGAAGAGCCACTGTAAATATATCCTGGTACCTACCTCTATAGAACTTGATGAGTCCATTCCGTACATTTCCGAAGTACTTGGTAATCTAGATAATATATTATTTATTTATTTATTTATCAACTTTATGCACATAAGTACAATGGCGGACTTAATGCCATAGGCATTCTCTACCAGTCTACCTTAGGGTGGTGTGGAAATGAGTGTGGAGGTGCACTACCCTTTGGTTGAGAATTATAGAGTGGACATAAAAGAAGTAATGATAGCAATACTGAGCAAAAAGCAATGAAATAATATATAAATACCAACGCATACATACAAGAATACATACATTCATATTCATATATATTGTTTTATATGTATACACATACATATATACCATAAGATATAAGGTATCATATTTGTGATGATTCCGCTACATTACGGTCAAGAAGAGCCCGCACCTTCGCCCTAAACGAATTACGACTGGTCGCCATTCTGATATCCTGGGGCAGAGCATTCCATAGAAGTACAGATTGAGTGAGGAAGGAAGAATGAACACACGCAGAAGTGTGGGCAGGGCATAAGAGTAGAAGATTATTTGTAGAGCGAAGGGTTCTGTTATGATTGGAGCACAAGAACTGGAAGGAGGATGTCAAGTATGTAGGCGAGTTAGGGGAGTTGAGAATGGTGTAGAGAGTCATTAGTGCCCGCAGGTGACGACGCTGACGAATTGGGAGCCAATTTAATTTAAGACGAAAGGAGGAAATATGATCATATTTACGAAGATTAAAAATGAATCGAATGCAGTTATTAAGAAGACGGTCGTATTTGTTGAGGAGATCTGCATTCAGGTCGTAGTAGCACACATCACCATAATCTATAATGGGAAAAATTAAAGTTTGTACCAACATCGCTTAATCTCGGAAGGTAAAAAATTCTTTAGTCGGTATAACACCCGCAGGGTTCCTGTAACTTTCTGGCTGACATTAGTAACCTGGGTTTGCCAATTGAGGTTGCAATCAATGAACAGTCCCAAATCCTTCACAGTAGAACTTAGGGGAATGATTGACCCGTTAAATACTAGGGATGGTAGTTTTTCTTGATCTAGCCTTCTGGTCATACGTGGACTGCCTAAGATGATAGCCTGGCACTTTGTGGGGTTCACAGTCAAACCGAACCTATAGGACCAACCGCTAATAGTCTCCAGGTCGCCGTTTATCATGGCAATAGCCTCCGATATATTATCTACAGCAGCATTATGGTAAAGTTGCAAGTCATCAGCATAAAGATGGTACGCACATTGAAGATTCTGAGTGATGAGATTGATAAAAATAGAAAATAATAGTGGAGAGAGAATGCCGCCTTGGGGGACACCAGAGTCAAGATCACACCATATGGAGGTGGATTCGTCGACACGGACGGTTTGCTGGCGCCCTCGAAGATATGAAGAGAACCATTCCAGTACATCAGATGACATCATATGATAGGAAAAGATAGATAGAAGGACATCGTGACTAACGGTGTTAAAAGCATTTGAGAAATCAATCAAAGCCAACACGGTAACTTTGGAGTCCTCAATTCCTGCCCGAATGTCGTCGGTCACTTTCAGGAGTGCAGAAGTTGTGCTATGGCCAGGCCTAAAGCCCGATTGAAAAGGGCTTAGTAAATTATGCCGATAGATAAATTGTGATAACTGTTGATGTACACACGTCTCGAGCACTTTGGATAAGAAGGGAAGTATGGAAATTGGGCGTAAGTGATTTATAAGGGTAGGGTTAGAGACCTTAGGGAGGGGTATTACAAAAGCACTGCACCACAGTGAAGGGAAAGTCCCTGAATCGAGTGAATAATTCACTATATGCGTAAGCGCGGGAAGGAGATGTTCGAGGATAGGTGTGATCATACGACGGTTTATGTTGTCACTTCCCATGGCGTTAGACTTAATGGAGAGGATTATCTTTTTTATGTCATCTGATGCAACTGGAGAAAATTGAAAGGAATTAATATTTGGGCGAGGAAGGTCAGCCAGGTACTTTAAGGTGAGACACTTTGTTTGGTGATCAAATTGCGGAAGAGTGGTGAAATGTCGGTTAATGTCATCCAAATCAAAGGTCATTGAAGATATACTTTTCCCGGATTTACCGATGCCCAAGGTACCAAGGTATCGCCAGATTTGGGAAGGCGAGGAATAATTAAGGTTTTGAATAATATGGCAGCGTTTAGCATTGCGCACCACCTGATTACACCGATTTCTTGCAACTTTATAAAGAGACCAGTTTGCTTCGCTCCTGTTTTTCCGGAATTTTAGGAACGCTTTGTCTTTGCGTCTCATTGCCTCACGGACATCCACTGACATCCAGGGAGCAGGAGAGCGTTTAATTTTAATTTTTGCGATTGGAGCGTTTTGGTCATAGAAGTCAATTACTAAATTATTAAAAATGCGAACCTTGTCGTCCACTGTAGCCGCCTGAATCAGGGGCTTCCAATCTAGTTTTAAGGCATCGCTGCGAAGTTTTTCTTCACTCATCCGTCCGAAACAGCGAATATGGCGAAACTGAGGGCGGTGCTTAGGAGGTTTCAGGGCATAGGAGAGGTAGATGAGGTCATGTTGGGAAAAACCGGGAGCGGGGTGTTGGCCATGACTACGGACAAAGGACGGAGTCGAAATTAGGATTAGGTCTAGCCAGGTGTCAGGTCCATTAATATTGTGATGTGTGGCTGACAATGGCAGCACATGCAGACAAGATTATTCGATGACCTGGAGGAGTTTACGGGATCGAGGGGAATTGGAAGCGAGGAGATCGGTATTGAAATCGCCCATGATGATATGGTGTGCATACTCGGACCCTAAAGATTCCAGAATCGGTTCGAGACTGGAGAAGTAGTCAACTTTGGGGGGACAGTAAACAACGCCCAGAAGAGTTTTGACTCCACTGATGCTAACCTCAAGGAAAAGGTATTCTGCGGATGCAGAACTGGAGGGAGGGGAAGACGCTAAGATTTTGTATGAGATTGAGCAGCGGAGATAAATAGCAACACCACCTCCTCTTCTGTCGACTCTGTCGTTGCGTATGAGAATGAAACCAGGGAGGGAGTACGACGTAGAAAGCAGGTTGGGTTTGAACCAGGACTCAGAAATCAGTATAGCATGTGCTTCGGAGTTGGTGAAAGCTTCAAGTAAGTCACTGTAGTGGCTGGGAATGCTTTGAGCATTAATATGACAAACGTTTAAGCACGGTACTATTATAATACAGTAGTGTAACTTGGCCGCATGATAGAAATAAATGCCTACAGCCGCGCTGTACGTAAACATGCGTTAGGGCTGCCCGTCTCCAGCATTTTAATTATATTTGCCTAGTTTCTGTTTCTATTTAGATTTGTGATTGTAAATATCATTTTTATATAAATAAATGAAATACTTTGTATTTGAATAGGAAGTGTTCAATAAAAATGGGTGTTGTTTTTTGATTTGTAGATTTAATTATTTTATTTTCTTTCTGCATTGGAGGAGTTTTTAGTGGTATATGTTGTTATAGTAGCAGCAGAAACACTTTGTGAAAATTTCGAAAACTATTTAATGACACACAGACGGTAAAATTTTTTTTCTAGTATTATTCATACACACAGATAATAAACAAATATTATTAAAAATTAAATACCACGTCTTTACTTTGAATTATGCAAAGTAACAAAACACACATGCACCGAAGTTTTAACACAAGCGTAAGTAGGTAGGTACCTACCGTATCATGATTCATTCAGAACCTCATATAACTACCTATTTCACTCGTCTCAATAACTTTCCGTTACTCTATTCGCTTTATTAATTAATCCAAACACCTTTTTTTTCGTAAGATAAAAGGAAATACTTATCCATAAAAAAGACACACATTATGTACCTACCTACTAGTAAGTAAAATTATTTTATAGTCTTACCTTTCAGAGTTTCCAGGTAATTTAAAAAAACCTTATGTCTGGATGCGTTATTGACGAATTCATACAACCAAAAACAGCACAATATTTCCTACTCGTCATATTAACTGATTTTTAGAGAAAAAAAAATCGCGCGGTTATTGTTAAAAAAACCAACACACCGTCCGTTCGACACTGCGGTACAGCCGTGACTGTCTGCGCCCCGAGCGCACCCCGAGATCGAGGCGCGTAGGTATAGCTCGCGTTTCGTCCGTTTGTATGAAGTTGGAGTACTGTATTATAATTGTACCGTGGTTTAAGCGACATTTAGAAGGGCGACCAAACGTCTGTCTCACAAAGTCGCCAAGTGTATCTGATAAGGAGCTAAAACTCTCGTCACCCGAAATAGTAGCAGATTCGTTTGCGGAATGAAACGATTCATCATCAGACAGCATGAAATTAAAATAAGTATAAATAAAATAAAAAAATATGTAAAGTTATATAACCAATAATATCGGATGACAACAATACGATGTCAAACTTTTTATAAATAAATACAGAATAATATAATATGTATAAGATATAAATTATTATTGTATTTAGACAATACAAGAACAATGTTAGCGCGTACCTCAGAACATTGTCATATCTACACCACCCGCCAGTCTTGACCCACTCAAATATATACAGACAGGCAAAAATAATCGATTAAAGTAAACGCATCGTTTAACCCTGTACAACAAGTCAAATAGAGCTAAAGTAAGACGAAACAAAAGTAGTATCGATGCGATGTGAATCCGAACGTAGCTAACCTTGTGTCAAATCTCAAAGTAGTGGATTTCGAAATGTCATTTTGACATAATTTACTCTATTGTGGGTTAATATTTGTTATTGTTTGTTGATAATTATAGTTACGATTCTATATATTACAATGAGTAAAAGCAGGTGATAAGG